CTATTGGCGGAGGGAAATCTAGGCACTAGCATTTTCTTAACCGACGGAGAGCTGGGTACCATCGAAGCTTTTTGCCGCGAAAATTTCCAACTGGACAACTAGAAGACGACAAAATGGCGAATGAAACTCTTCGATCTTTATCTAAAAGGCTTGGAATAACGACAGTAGATGTTTCAAAGAAGGGTTCTGAATTTGAGCGCTTGATGGACGTTCGTGGTTGTTCCTTGACTTTAACTAGCGTGGCTAAATCTGTGATCTGCCTCGAGATTGCTGCGAATAATTCCCAAGTTCCCGTGGACAAGGTAAGCTATGATTTTAAGATCATGAACAGAAATTCGCCCTGAGGTTATACATAATTGTATCAGTCCTATCCTATAAGCTGTCCGTCGTGGTTCCGATGTAACGGTTCTATGGAAAACAGGCGATCAATATTCTAAAGAAGCCAAGTTGTCAAACTCTAAAATTACACATACCACCTTCCCCAGAGGTGCCTGTCAAAACCTTGTTACCATGGAAACATCAAGGCATAGGAACAAGAGAATCTTGGCACATCAAGATTGTACACGATAAATGTTAGGAAAACTCATGAATTTAGCTAATTTGTTGTTGAACACTTTTGAAGCGATATATTGTAGATAACCTAGTGTAATTTAAATTCATGCATTAAAACGTGGGGTCACTGTGCTCGTTTAAGAGAAAACGAACAGTTATTTTGCTGTTGAGCTTAGCTTGAGGGGAGTCGATCTATTACGTTGTGTATGTGCATGCGCTCATGTGCATGTGTTAATGATGTGGAAATCGTGCGTAGTAGAGATGCGCAATACTGAGGAATCACCTTAAGTACAAATGTGTGAAAGCCGGTACAATTTAATTTTTTAAATGCTTTTAGAATTTCTGGGTAAATATGTGAAAACTAGTCAAAGCTACACAACACAGTGGCCAAAGTGAGAGAAGCAAGTGGAAGCCTGCTGCACTAGTAAGAAACAACAGAAGCATCAGAAAATGCCCTTTTAGGCTAAACAGTGTAACTTGTTAACGGTTAATTTAAGTTTATCAATCTGTTTACTGTCACAACATTCAAGGTTCAAGTTGTCATCATGCACAACGAAAAGATTCCCACTGCGTGTCCTGATTTTTGTTTTTGTACATATAGATTTCTAAACATTTACATTTCTGATTATAATCCCTGCTCACTAGCTGTGCTCGCTCCACAGCAAAAATAATCAGGAGGATTGCAGAGACCATTTAAAAGTGGTAGGGCTAAAAGATCTGACCTGGAAAAAACTGATTACGGGCATAAGGGGTTCCAGCTTTTAACATTTATTAAAAAATCAACCCAAGAATATAGGTGGTTAAGGACTATAACCCTGCCAGTCTCTCCACCTTTGCAGTCCCTGAATCATCATCTCAAGCATATTATTAATAGTCTGCATCGAGCCAACTGGTCCATATACCATCAGAGCTTATCCCTGTTTCTGTAGCGTTATTAGCAACTACTCTCCCCTGGATGGGATAACAATCCATTACTGGGTTACCCCCAACATTAAATTTGTTGGTATCCCTGTCATACACCTGGGTAGGGAAAGTGCTTTGGAAAGTGCCAAGATCACAATGCAGTGACCCCAGCCAGGACTCAAACTCAGACTGCTCAATGTAGAGTCCGGTGCACTAATGTTGTGATTTATCATGGAACATTTTGTTGTATCAATTGTTTACTCCATTAGTTACCCAACTTGAGGCTTCTGTGCCAACCATGTTTTCAAAGGATGTTTCAATGAAAGTTTATTTTTTTTTTCAAAGCTGAAATTTCGGTTTCGGTGAGGTTTTGGGTTATTATATTTTTACATATTTTTTCTTTCATTTTCCCTATTTGTATCTGAAACAAAATTCTTGATCGTGATTAGTTCTCTATGCACCTATTTAGGGATATCCAATTTTAATCTTATGTAACTGGATTCCTGTATTTGATGCCTATGCCAATTTTGCACTTCAGTTGCATGAGCTTTAATGGTGTCATTCTTAACATTCCCTACATGTAAAACTAATGGAAAACTCTATTGACTTTTCTGCTCAAAAGAAGGTGTAAATTAATAATCTTGAAATTTGTTGCCAAGATCCTTGTTTGAAAATCAGAGAGAGGCCTAAATGATTTTTCACTCTGAGACTCTGAAAAGAACAAACAAATACAAGACTTTGTGACTTGTCACAAAGGACTCTGAGATTTCAAGATCAAATTACAAGTTTCCTGAAGGCTTACAAATTTCTATAGGTACCATTCAACACCCCTTAAATAGAGTCGAACCTTAAGCAGTCTTAAGAATATATCCAGTGATGACTTTTTTAAATACAGTTTGTGCTGAATTCTATTCGGATTCATATATTCTGTTGTTTAGAATTCCATCTCTCCCTTTAATTTACCTGTGACATATACCGGTAATCGAAAATACATAAAGTCACCCCTTCTTCCCTGGTTATAGAATGTGGCAATTCGTCTCTCTGGGATGACCAAGAAAGCATACATCCATGCTTTCAAAACAATAGAGTGTCTGTTAGGGAAGAAAAAGGAATTTACCATCAAAGATCTTGCGGTGCAATTTGGTTGCATGGAGGCTTCAAACTTGGCTCAGCAAATCCATCAGAGGTACAGATGGGTCAATCTGTGTTAATACTAGTTTCGTCTTATTGTTTTTTGCTGTTATTGTAATTATTGTTACATAGGTTGCAAAATAGAGCATCTTGTCATATAGAGGGTACAGCTGAACCCCTCCATATGGACACCTTTCTAATACAGACAGTTTCCTGTCTACCAACAAAATTCTCATACATTTCCTCTAAAAAATACCTCTATAATACGGACCCTCTCTAAAACAGACTATGGACACTAAATCTTGGCCCTAAGGAGCAAATTCATACAAATTTAACCTCTTTGTTATGGACACTCCAGGGACCAGGTGTCAATAATTTGTGGTATATATGTACTATTTCCTGTCGGCAGTTACACAAACATTGACACTTTATCATTTAGATTTGGAAATTCAGAAGACACTCACTTTGAACCTGATGTTAGTTACTAAACACTCTTAACTGTCAGTGGAGACAGTGACCTCTTAAATACACACAACTCTCTAATAGGGACACTTTGCTCTGTCCCTTTGGTGTCCGTATTGGAGAGGCTTGACTGTAGCAAAATGAAGGGATTTTGTCTAAAAAGGGTCAGAGTTTGAAGGTCTCAGCAGCACCACCCCAACTATGTTTTGATAAGGTGTTCCCTCTCTCCCCCTCCCTTCTGAATGCATGACCCTCTTGACATAGTAATTAGGACTTAATATTACCAGATCAAGTACCTATCAATAATAATTAGTGATAGGTACTTGATCAGATAATATTAAGTCCTAATTACCATGTAAGTAACAATTATTGTTTATAATCTAGTTGCTTTTATGAATATTTATTTTCAACAAGGTATAAACAAGATTTTGTTCAAGAAGCTGAAGACATCAGTCATCCAATCTTTGTAGCGACTGCATTATATACTGCTTGCAAGTATGAATAAAATTATTATATTATTATTTATTTTATAATATCTGTTCAAGTATGAATAAATTATTATCATCAAATGGTTATTGATTTTAAATAAATATTCTTTTATTGTTGGATAAATTATGTGAACACTGGTTTCATTGCTTCTTAAGGTACAAAAAGATCAAAATAGACAAGAACAAGTTACTGAACATGTTGGCTACTAAGAGGTCAACATTTGACAGTCTGCATAAGAAGATGGAGAAAATACCTGACATGTTGGAATGTGGTAAGAGCGTCTGTCTAGTTTACTTGTGATTTCTTGTGAAATAGTGTACATCCATGGCTTTGAAGCATTGTGTGATTTTATTTATCAATCACCAAAAAAGAGACTTTCAATTGGAAAAACACAAAAACTGTAATCTTTATGTATAATTTAAGTTATGTAATGTGTAGCAAATGTAATGTAAGTAATGCAGGTAGCCAAATGTTAGTAAGTGTTGTATTATAAAGCTATTGCAAGTAATGTACCGTTAGTTTGTATAGTAAGCAATGTACTGTAAAAAAAAAAGACTTTGGAATTTAGTATCTCTAAGTGGTTAAATTGAAGTTGAGCCACACCCCATAAATCTATAGTGTTTATTGTCAAAATGTGTAACTAGGATAACCCTGCCATTTTTAGATTGGACCTTCCCCCCCTCTTGCCCAGCCTCCCCAAATGCAGGGTGATACCCTGTTTCAGACATAGGTCGTGGAGAAATAGGCACATCTGCTGATGCATGTTAAGTGAGAAAGATCAGGAGAAAAAGAAAGAGGATTACAGAGAAGGAACACTCTTCCTTCTTGCTTGCTTGTTTGTTTTTCGACGTTACATTTGGCAAAGAAAAGCTAGACTAAATAAATTTAATTAATAAGTTTATGTTCTCCTTTATTTCTTTTGAAAGTTGAAAGCAGTAAAAGATCAACAAAAAGAGGTTATGGACTTCTCGGGAAAGTGAATGAAATAATTGAAAGTGAGTTCTTTAACCCTAAAGTAGCCTCTTCCAGGCGTTCAGTTATTTGGGGCGCAGCGCGAAAACCAGCGTGCGAAAAATAAAAAAGCGCGCTTTTTGTACTTTTTCGCTTGCCTTTTTTAGTGCTTCGTCCCAGCTAACTATACGCCTGGAAGAGGCTAACCCTAAAGTGGAACACATTAAAACGTAGTGAGTATGAAGACAATGAATCAGAGGTGAGATCTACCCTGCTGGCAGGCAGTCTTTTTTCTAAGGATCCGAAGGAGCAATCGAACTGGCTCGCACTTTTGGCACGTGAAGAGCTGTGCAAAAGTGAAACACGCTGAAATGAACACGCCTCGCAACGTTTTCGTAGCAGCAAACGTTGCGCTAATTATGATCAAGTGCAACTTTTGGCAGCGTTTGCGGCGACGCGGCCAATATTTTTTTGGCGGCCAGGAGATGTTACGCTTAGTAAAATGTCCCTCCTACCTCCGCAATAAAATTGCGAACGGCGCATTGGACATCTACCAAAATATATATATGGAATTTTGCTATGTAGATATTCCAACTGCTATTTTCCTCTGAACTTAGAACTTGATATTTAAGTTTTAATGAGTGTTGTTATGTTTTACAGCTCAACCTCATTCATCAAAACAATCAAAGGAAGACGATGAAGAGGCAAACGCAGAGGACAGAGATTATGAAGAATGGAAGAAGAGAATTCTTGAATCTGCAGCGAAAGCCATGGCGTCTACGGGAAAGAAAAACAACGAAAAGAGTAACTCATAATATTTTGCAATTCATACATTGAGATGTTACAATTCAATTTGTTGTAGAACGCTGTTGCTGTGACTTATTCGAACTGAGCAGTTATATGGGTCGTATGTCTTCCTCTTTTTTTCTGTCTCTTCTGCCTTCAACGATTTTCGCTTAGATATCTGGGATCTGGTAAGTCGCGTGATTTTCCTAAACCAATCAAAGAAAGGACGCAGTTTTCTCAGCCAATGATCTGCGACTTGCCTTGTTGCATCTACCAGCCGTGCATAACAGGTCACTCCATAAAGCTGATGAAGACAGATAAAGGGAAAGTAAAGACAGCTTAGACTCCGTCCACACTGCTTGAGTTTTCACTCTGGAGATGCGTCAAATGTTTTCCGTCCACACTACGCAGGAGAAAGTTGAAAACGCCACAATCAACGGTCATTTTGGATTTGTGTTTGAAGAAAACTCGGTCAGGGAAATCACATTATTACCGTGATGTCGTCTTTTTCGAAAAGCTCCGTTTTCAAAATGTTTTCCGTCCACACTAAAACACAAAGCCGGCGTTTTCAATTCCTTTGATTTGAAGAGCGTTTTCGAAAAGCTCTGTTTTCGTGATGGATTAGTGTGAACGTGGTAGTGTAGACGAGGCCTTCCTGCCCTGTGTCCAGAACCGTAACTGCGATCGTTCTTCTTTCTTATAAACTTTCTATTATGTTGTACATATAAATATATGTAAGAAATAAAGCTGATATGAAATATTACATCTCTCATCGTCCCTCCAAGGTTCAAAGATTCAGATGAATATTTTTATCAGCATTGCATCCTATTATTCTAGTTTCGTAACAGGGCTCAATAAGGACCGCACGAAACTTCATTCAAATTCTCTTCGAGTTGCATCGGACCGCATAATTATTAGCTATGTAATGCATAATTCGCTCATGCATCTCATGAAGTTCTTCATTGCGACAGCGGCAGCTCTCTTGCACTGTAGATGGAGTGATCGGTGCTAAATCTGTATTATTAATAATCAACTCCAGTGAATATAATGGTTGTCTACCTCTTCGCGGTTGTCAATTTTGAATTGTGAATTGGGTTGTCGATTTTTCCCGCACTTACGTTCGTTTGCCTTCGGCTTCAAGGTTCTACGGCGGGCTCTGATTGGCTCATTGCGGTATTTCGGCTCGTTATCATTGGTTTTTTGACAGTCACACCTTAAACACAAATCTACGTAATCCAACACATTTGGCCAATCACAACAAAGCAAATAATGCAAAGAACGAATCACAGCTGGAAGCAAAGGTAGAAATCGTTTTCAGCGCGAAAAAACGCGCACAAAGCCAAGTCACGATTTGTCTGAATACTATAGGCTGGATAACAGTCGTTTTTGTGGGTTTCTTGGTAAAGCATCAGGCGATTGAAATCACCAAGCATGAATTAAGTCACATTTTAGCTCTTGAAATTGTTGAGTAGTTTATTAGAGTCACATCTAATGTCACCGGAGTTGCTAATGCCTTACGAACTGGCATTCCTCTACTATACCTTTTCAACTAATTGTACCGTAGTCACAAATAGACTACAAATTAAACTCGTGGCGTGCAAGTATGCGACGGTATTAACCATAGCAGATAATGCCAGAGGTCGAGGTCTCAGTACATACATACATCTCGAAAATACCCGCGTCTGCGCAATTGCCAAACGACAACGGTATACCAAAAAAATATGTTTATTTGGGCGCTTTTCTCCCTCTATGTTATACATACTATAGTTTACTATGTTGCAGTTTCCAGTTAGTCTCCTTGGCTGCCGTTATTACGATCGTCATGCAACGCGGAGGAGACTAGTTTCCAGTGGGCTTGGCTGAACAATCTTGTGCAGGCGTTCATGGCATGTTTGCTTTAATCCAGCTGTACAGTTTAGCAATGTTAGTGTACACTCCGTAGTACTGGCCAGCACAACCCCATCCCCAGCTGGTTGTGCCTACGAGATACCAGCGGTTGTCCTTTTCACAAACAAGAGGACCTGGAGAAGATAGAGAAAAACACATATTGGAGAAAATGAGCCCTGACCTAGTTGCACTACCTGGTCAATATTGCTGCGCGCGTTCCTTGAGAAAGGTGGCGGTCACATTCGCAAGTTAAGCAAAAACAGTAGTAGTTTTGTATCATATATTTTATACCGGAGACAACGAACACAAGGGACTGAAAATGATAATCGAGAAGCTTCTTGTTGAGATTATTTGAGAACTCGTTACTCAAGGACAGTAATGGAACTTTACTATGAGTACGCTAAGAATACGACATGAAGTTAAGTTTACTGATTAGACCGTTAAGTTTAACAGGGGTTTCATTAACATTTTCAGCGTTGGCAGGATTGCAACTGGTTCACGCACAGGCAGGCAAAACTTTTTGAACTGAACTTCTTTGTAAGAAAAACTTTCTTCTGGATGGTCCAACCAGGCGGGTAGAAATCATCCTCAAAGCCGGTCAATTTGCCCGATGCCCAGCTCTTAATGAAACCTCTGCCGTTGGTCGACCAGGAACATCACTTTTACCTCCACTATCCCCTTGACAGGCATCAATTCCTCCCCCTGAAAACCCAGCACAGATCATGTTGGATGTTATGAGCTCTGGTCGATAGTTCCGCTTGCAGTCCTCCTGTGAAATTAAGGGGACTCTTGCCTCCCTTAGAACAGGAGATGTAGTGCCACCTTGACGGGTGCGACCCCAACCTGTGATGGCGCATGCTCCTGTGCAAAATCGAAGCATACAAATACATTAATAACCCGCAGAAGGTTTGCCGAGCAAACTGAGCTCTCGAAGTTGTTTCTCATTTTATTTCGGTCCCATATTTGACCTGAACACAGTTAGCAGTTTGCCGACTAAAAGCACTCGAAGTTGTTTTGCCCCCATATTTAGCGTGAATATGGATAGGGAATTATTTAGCTAATCAGAAACTGCCAGCCCAGTTAACTTCGCGTTTATTTCAGAGAAGCTTCCGTTAACTTGTTGAACATTGTCACCAATCAGGGCTAATTATTTATTAATAAAGAACGCGACGAGAGTCGTCGCCGACCAGTGAACATCAGAGATATTTTAGCGTGAACCAGAGTCTCCGCAAAAGTATCCGCCATCTTGGATTTGAACACCTGTAGCCGAGACCCTGGGTACCAGCTTACTGTACTTCGTATCTTTAATAAGAAGGGCGGGTAATAAGTCACTGTAGAAGAACACCTGAGGTCTGCACTAAAACCTTTACAGTAAGTTGTTTCAAGAGGATGTTTCCTTTGCAATAATACTGCATCGCGTAATGTTTCACTGATCGCCTTTCCTTTCATCACCAAGGCAATATAACTGATAATGGGTGGGGGCTGGGGTTGAACGACGTACTTACCAGGAGGAAAGTCAGCATTACTGCTTTGTAGGCACACTGGTCCCACGTGACTGTTGAATTTGGCGGGAGAAGCCAGCTTTATGACAGCAATGTCCCGATCATGAGAAACCGCCAGGCCGTACGACGCATGCGTGTACACCGCGGCAATGTCAATGTCTTGTTCGTGACCTTCAGTCGTTTCAAAATGGTGCTCACCAAGGCGAACCTGTGTTGAAGACATCGAGAGATTTTAGCTTGGGTGGTAAACTGAGGACGGAGGGCACTATATACAATACTCTCATACCTGCATTTTTCCCTCCCCACCTACGACAGTTTAAGAGTAGTTAGCGGAAGTTAAGATGTTGGCTCAAAAACCAAGTTACCTTACGTCATAGTTTTTGTGTAAAAAAAAGGTTAAAGATTTCTCTTTTTGGAGAAAAAGTTAGGGGAAAGAATCTGATCCGAGGTACAGCTTTTACGGTGATTACTTATTAAGGCTAGGGAAGTTCAAGAGTGCTCTAATTCTTTAATACATGGCCTGGCTTTAGCCTGGAACAATTTGATTTGCCGACGAAAGGAGGGAGGTCCCTACTCGCTAGTGCAATCATAATCATTAAATCTTTTCTCGAAATGTGATAAAGAATGTCCTCGCTCACCCTGTAGTATTCTCTTCGAGAGCTTTTATCACGAAGATTTTCCGAAGATTTCAGCTTTTCCGAAGATTGAACACTCGAAGGTCTCGCCAAAAAAAGCTTCACATTTATTATTTTTATTTTCAGTTTCCACGATGGGCCGAAGACATCCGACCGTTCAACGACCATTTTTGACTCTAGGTACTTGCGGCCGTTCTCTTGGTTCGTCGCACTTCTTGGAGAAGAACCTAACGTGGTCATGACAAGATGCGCACGCAGTCAGTTGCGTGACACGATACCCACCTTGTAGTCCTTGATAAAAGTATCGGTATCAGAAGGGACGCAATGCGCAGCTGTAACCACGTGATATGCGGAAACCAAGGTTCCTCCGCAGTCTTGAGACTTGCAAGTCTTACACATGATAGCCACTTGCCAGGGCCATGCCCCAGGGGTTGAGATTTTTCCCCCAATGATTTTACCGACGCTGAATTCGGAAACGGAGCGATTGGTCGCCTTCACGCCACAGGTCATCGGAGAGGGAGTGGTCGTAGGGGGATCCGTCGGAACGTTCCTCTCTAGAGCTGTGCCAAGAAACGTTGGAGAAGACTTATGAATAAAACGCCTGCAAATTTTTCTTATAGGGACGAGATGGATTTAAGCTCTTGGAACAGTAGTCTAATGACTATCGTAGGACTAAAATGTAATCATCTGACCATGCAACCCAACACCAATAGGAACTCGAAGCTAAAACATGCAACCAGTGCCAAGCGCGGGAAAACGCAAATGAACCAATGGTGACGCGTTTGCTTTTAGCTTGTAACTCCTGATTGGTTGATCTGTAAGTTAGTATGTTTTCCCTGAATGGTTGGATGAAATTGCAGAGTTTAATTTTAACCATTTGAACATTTCAGCAAACTAACGTAAACTCAAAACGGACGCATGATTACTTGCGTCAATCAAGCCAAAATTGCCAGCTTGAACTGATTAAGGAAGCTGATCTTAGTCCAGTTCTGGCTCTTCATTTGTCTTTCACGCAACGCTGCGCTCTTGGGAGCGGAAGCGTTGCGTGACAGCGAGAGAGCTGTAGAACTGGACTAAGGTGAGTTAAACTTACACAGTTTACAGATGAAGGGTAAAGGACGCGAGCACCGACTATCCAGCCAGCTTGCTGTGATGGAGCTCATGTAAACACAGTCTTCATTTAGACCCCAGTTGTTGGGTTCGCCTCTCGACCATTTGGTGTACGTCAGGAGACTTCTGTCCTCCCATCTTGATGGAAGAAAGACATGTTAATAATTGACTTTGTGTTAATTGTCTTATCTATTGATAAAAACAAACTCACACTTCTAATTTTTATAAGTACACTTGATCTTTAAGAGGGACGGGCCAGGGCTTGCTTTCAAGCATTTTCTGTGTCAAACTTGGGGCTTGCATTGTTGGCCGGACACGTCACACCAATAGGGATAACCTTTGCCGAGTTAATAGTTGTAATGCGGAAAGTACGGATTGAGGAAAGTGAAGAAACTGTATATTGTTGGATAGGAACCTTACCTGGCACACCGAATGTCAGAGAAAAAAGTCAAAAGACAACTGTGGGTTTTATTACTTTCTTCTGGATAGCAGATTAAAGGCTAAGACTTGGCAGGGCTGTCCAAACGGAAAAATGGCGCAGAACAATGAACAGAGAATTGAAAGAATATGGCCCTGTCGGTTACCTTATCACCTGACAGTTTAAACAGTAACACAGGGCTTTCTTTTATCACCATCTGTTTGTCACGGAGCACGGAGAGTAAAGACAGTTACACAACACAACTTGCCATTAACAGCATTCAAGAGAGGATAAAGGGTACATATAGTTCTTATTCCCAAGGTAATCCCTCAAGTTATTTTTAGATCACCTCCACTTTCGGAAATTCCAGGAGCTTCTAGAAATAGCCAATTCTGTGACATGGAGTTTGCTCCAGCGAACAGCCCTATCTGCTTGACACGAATTTTAATTCTCCACGAAAACATCAGGACAATGCACGTGATAACATCCGCAGAAGAACTGGGTACCATGTCTAAAAATAACCTAAGAGGGATTACCTTGGGAATAAGGCCTATATGAAGGATTAACCCCTACCCCTGCATCCTCTCTTACTAGACTACAAAAACGTTTTACTTACGAGAACGCGTTGTTGGAAGAACGTTTGAGTCCTATCCAGAATCCGTAGCTTCCTTCAGAATTCTTTTTCATTAGCGTTGACACTAAAGCTTGTTCGCTTGATGACGTGATACTCACGAGGTCGGCACGTGATGCTTGACACACTTTATTCGCGTTACTGCGGGACCTGGAGAACACAGCACTGTAGACTTTGTAACAGTCGTTACCCTGCTTATGCCAACCGCGTGGACACTGGGGTGCCGTTATTTTTCCTTTAGCAGTCGACACTTGGAGAAACAAAAAATAAATTACTTTGAAAGAAAGTTGAAGCTCTTATATACTTACGATATGCATGGCAATGACGCAAAGTTATAAAGTTCTTATCTTCTGTTAAGACTGTTTTAAAACTGTATTTTATGTTGAAAACGGAATAACGTTTGTCACATATATAAAACAAGCGATTGAAGAGATATAAATTCTGCCACTTGTTGAGTTCATATATAGAAAGGCACACCAGCCTCACGTGGATTTATTGATAGTTGCCTCTATTCTAACTGTTAGCTGACTTAGAGGTTGCTTGGTAACCCCTCGATGAGCGCGACACAGTTGCTTGGTAACCGCTTCAGTTTGCTTCGGAAACCATGGTTAGGAAAATTCGAAAGTGAGATCGTTAAAACTCACCGATCTCGCATATGAAGGGATGTGTTCGAGCATAAGTCCCTGTACATGTAGTGTCCAACCATCCGCCACTATATCTGTACATTTCCACACAGTCTTCGTCACCGAGCAAGTTGTTCGGCTCGTTTCTGGCCCACTGGGTGAATGTTAGTGGTTCCCCGTTATCCCAACGCGAAAATGCCCCCTCGGAGTCCCGGCGGAGTCCGATCCAAGCCGCGTAGTCCCCCGTAAGTTGCGAAGTCAAGCTCCTTAAGAAGTTGAATTCGTCGGCGTCGTTGATGGCAATGAGAGATCCGCCATGTTGTTGACAGCGAGCTTTTGCAGCATTCCAGAAAACTTTTTCATTGATGGCCTTGTAGCATGATCTTTGATATCTAGTCCAACCTGCTGGGCAGCTTACTTCTAAAAAGAATTCATGTAGCATGAGTGTGCAGAAAGTAAACAAACTGTTACATAGAAGCTATTTGCTCTGTAGAATACTTATCATGCGCGTTAACGAAGATTGCTCGCAGAAGTTTCGAAAGGCCGTTACAAGTTGCCATTTTGTTAATAGACTTCTTTGCATGTCTGCTTTTTTTCCCTTCACTACAGTGACTGCTTTATTTATTATTATTTTTTTGTAATTAAGGTAAAGCGCGTTAAATTTTAATGCAATAAGGTCATTTCTGAAAAAGGTGCGCTTCATACAGTGGGGGCGTTTTGGAGGCGAGGTGCTATGCAAAGTCGAACATAAAAGATGTCATAGTTTTTGAAACTTACCTTCGATACTCTTTAAAGGAATGGTTCTTGTAGTTGGTGGCATGGGCGTGGTGGTTTCAAGGGGCTGAGCTGCCGCACCGCAAATACCTGGGATCAGTCTGATCTCATCTAGAGCTATATCGCTTCTATATCCACCGCCACGGACAGCTTCGAATACAATCTGCGTTCGATTAAAACACAATTGTGACATCAAAATAGTGAGCGTTTATACTTACGCTTGAATCTCCTCAGTGGAAGAATGATACTTAAGGTAAAATGTTTAATGCACCATACATCCTTCACTTATCTTTAAGAAGGCAGTGTATCCGTGCGGTAGGGCGCCCTACAGTGGGAGAAATCGGGAAGTCACGGTTTCAAGTCCCGCTGTGACCACGAGCTGGTGTTTTTTGTACGGCGTGGCTCGCTTATTCCATCTACTGAGGAAGGGCTAAGCCCGAAGCGTTTAATAAACCAGCTACTATCATTGACACTTTCAAAAGCCTTTTCAGCCTCATATATATTTAGTTTATCGTCTTAGTGTCACGCATCTTATGAGGTTTTTTTTTTTGCTTATTTCTACTGATTTTGTTTTTCTTTTTTAACTTTTAAGTTTAACTGGAATTATTTGTTTCTGACATTTAATTGCTCGGTCCTTCGAGGATTTGTGCTATGAACACTGACAGAGATTAACTGAAGGATAGTTTTTTTCATTTTTGTTTTTTTTTTCTTTTATCCTTTGCGTATAAACATGTGTAAAGTGGCACATGGTTCCATTGAGCCACTGCGCTATAACAATTAGATTATTAGCTCTCGGTTTCTATCGCGTGATAGTTCACTCACGACACGCATAGAAATCGAGAGCGAGTAATGTAATTGTTCTAGTGCAAATCTACAAGCCCTGAAATACTTAGACAACAAGGTAGAGTCCACACTTCCAAAACATAAAGAAGAGGCCGCCATTTTGTTAACAACACGCACACTGCAACGCTACTCACTATCTGCATGAAAATTATTCCACGAGCACGCGTTAGATATGAGATGATAGATAGCCAGCTGGGCGCGTAGCGCCGAGTTGGCTATGATCATTTTATATCCAACAGCGCGAGTGGAGTAATTGTTTTATTAAAAACTCCCCTCAAAATACATAAAACTAAACTAAAATAATAATAAAAACGCCTCAAAAAAATCACGCGTACGCTTACCATATTTGCAGAGCATGGTATCATTAACAATCAGACCCGTAGCCCTTGCGGGCTACGGGTCAATAGCCCATGAGGCGAAGCCCACTGGGCTATTCTCTATTTTCCAATTGCCCATAATTCACTCTGTTTGCCCCCAAATTTTGCATAAACTATTGTTGTGAAATGCTCTTGGGAATATGCAGACCTCCCAAGAGCATTTCACAGCAATAGTTTATGCAAAATTTGGGGGGCAAACAAAGTAAATTATGGGCAATTGGAAAATAGAGAATTGACCTGTGGCCCTTGAGGGCGAAGGGTCTAATTGCTTTAGTATCACCCAACTAGTCGGACAGAAAAGGCAATATTAAAGTTAGCAAATGCAA